GGAACTTCAGAGGGGAAGAATAAAAGGAGAGAAAAAAGAAAGTTATGCTTGTAGAGGTAAAGAAAGAGGCAAAGAACTTAAGATAAATAGGTACAGCAAGAGAAACTACGTCCCCTCACGAAGCTACTGTAGATGACACGAGGGTGTGGTCAGCCAGGATCAACAAGCACTTCTCTCATGCATGAAATCAATCTCTCCTGGGTTTGTTTTATTATTATTATTATTAGTGGCCGCGATTCATTTTCTCCGTCACTTTCCTCCACATTGTGTCCATCTTCACTTTCACTTCTTTAGACTAGCTTTTTCTTTATTGGTCGTTCTGGCTATTTATTTGCTGTATTTCTGTTTGTCTTGCTATCCTGAGGTTCCATCACCTCTAAAAAAGTAAGACTAGAGGAATATTGCAGTAGGCCTATTGCCCCATACTTCTCAGGTCCTACTCAAACCCACTCATTTTGACTCACGTATATATCATGTTTAAGGCTACTCGAAGTATTTGCTACAATGACTTGACTTGGTGTTGTTATATTCACGTACATCGCCAATACCAAACCTGCGCTTTCCTATAGCCTTTCTAAATTAGAATTTATCTAACATGGACCAGTTTTAATTTGTCGTAGTTTATATTTTTTAGCTCTTTATCTGTATTTATTATCTTCACTTTGCAAACTCAAGCCATAACTCGCCAGATTCTACTTACTCAATCTTCGCCAGAAAGACTCTTGATGAAATTAAGAGACATGTGCAACATCTGGGTATCTTTATTGTAGACGTTTCGCCATCCAGTGGCTTTATCAATACAAATTCCAGGATATAACTTGAAGATAGTAGAACTATGTACTCCTAGTTTGAGGGACTGATTACCTCATCTTCTGTACATAGTTCTACTATCTTCAAGTTATGTCCTGGAATTTGTATTGATAAAGCCACTGGATGGCGAAACGTCTACAATAAAGATACCCAGATGTTGCACATGTGTCTTAATTTCATCTTGTCGGTATTGTATACCATTCTCGTACAGAAAGACTCTTGATAAGGGAGATAAACTTGTTCAGCATTCTTCGTATTTTTCCCATGTATTTATATTTCCTCCTGTATTATGCAGAACAGCAGTGCCAAACTATGGTAATGAGGCCCTAATAACAATTGGAGTATACCCTGGGACTTCTGATATACTTTCTGGTGTGAAGCCAAGAGTCTATTAGTTGTACTGGAACACTTATGCACTGTTGCCTTCGTTATATTTCTGCGTGCTACAGCTCTTACGTCTTCCTATTTGAGTTACACTTTAACTGCATCGACAGGTTTTCTGACGACAACAACAACCCGTGGAGATACTCCTAAGGCTTCTTGATGTCTTGAAAATAAATACTTCGGTTTACTTTTGTGTTATAAGTAAACTTACTAATGACGCAATATACTTCTACATCAAAATCACTTGTAAAACAACTCCACTTTGATTTGTCCCAATTCATACAAATTCTGCAGCCTACCGGTCAGCTATACTTTGATCCAAGAGAGAAATTTCCTTTCCATCCCATGCGCCGCCACTTTCATAACTCTCGTGTATGGAGCTCTCAATGATCTCACTGAAGCCCAGATAAACAATATCGTTCTCTTAATCATGGTTCACCGCTTCAAATACCACAGAGGAAAGAGTCAATGTGTTAGGCAAGAACAATAGCTTGTGAAGTTGAGATTCGATCAAATTATGATCATTATGGTAACTTAAGAACTGCACCCGCTTTTGTATATAGGAGTAACATTGGCTATCATTCATATCTACAGAAAAGTGCCACGTGGCAGTGATTTATAAAAGAAACTAGCTAGTGGTTTAATAAGTTCATCTTTGCATTGATCAAATACTCCTTGAAAACAGTCTGTCGGGACTACGGGGCTCATTAGGCTTTTCTATGTATCTGTTGAAGAAAAATGTTACTAGTGACTTACGTAATTTATTTTTGCATTACGTCACCTATAATTATTATTTTACGGGATTTCATTTTTATTTTACTTTGTGCAAGATAAAGCAAGAAATAGTTAAAAAAGTGAAACACTTGCTTTGTCATCATCAGCAAGTCTTTGATTTTAGTGGATCTATCTTAAGTTAAATCTGACAAATGGCTAACGTTTCCTTTTAGACTAAATGGATGAATTTCAACCCTTGTACACACGTCAAGTTTGACTTAAATTTGTTTAAAGTGTCAGTCCTGGACATTGTTTCACTACCTGCTGTTCTAAACAAGATGTTACATAGACCCAGATCTCGGTCTCTGAGGGGGAATTAAATCTCTAGCCTTCCTGCTCTTGGCAAAAACCTCGTCTCCAGCACCGAGGTAGATAACAGGAATGTTACCACTGCCTTACAAGATGTTATCTGGCCTGCCTGAGGGAAATACCCTGTCTGCTCTTGCTCTCCCTTCTACCCAGTCTGCTCTGTCTGCTGTTGCTCTCCCTTCCACCCTGTCTGCTCTTGCTCTCCCTTCTACCCAGTCTGCTCTGTTTGCTCTTGCTCTCCCTTCTACCCAGTCTGCTCTTGCTCTCCCATCTACCCAGTCTGCTCTTGCTCTCCCTTCTACCCAGTCTGCTCTGTTTGATCTTGTTCTCCCTTCCACCCTGTCTGCTCTTGCTCTCCCTTCTACCCAGTCTGCTCGTGCTCTCCCTCCTACCCAGTCTGCTCTGTCTGCTCTTGCTCTTGCTTCTACCCAGTGTGCTCTGTCTGCTCTTGCTCTCCCTTCTACCCAGTCTGCTCTGTCTGCTCTTGCTCTCCCTTCTACCCAGTCTGCTCGTGTTCTCCCTTCTACCCGGTCTGCTCTTGCTCTCCCTCCTACCCAGTCTGCTCTTGCTCTCCCTCCTACCCAGTCTGCTCTGTCTGCTGTTGCTCTCCCTCCTACCCAGTCTCCTCTTGCTCTCCCATCTATCCGGTCTGCTCTTGCTCTCCCTCCTACCCTGCTGCTCTGCTCTGTTCTTGCTCTCCCTTGTACAGAGAACCTTCACGGCGCGCATAACGGAGATAAAACACCTCAATTACTGGGAGCGATTGAAGTTCCTGAACCTGTACTCCCTGGAACGCAGGCGGGAGAGATACATCATTATATACACCTGGAAAATCGTAGAGGGACTAGTACCGAAATTGCACACGAAAATCACTCACAACGAAAGCAAAAGACTCGGCAGACGATGCAACATCCCCTCAATGAAAAACAGGAGTGTCACTAGCACGTTAAGAGACAATACAATAAGTGTCAGGGGCCCGAGACTGTTCAACTGCCTCCCAGCATACATAAGGGAGATTACCAATAGACCCCTGGCTGTCTTCAAGCAGGCGCTGGACGAGCACCTAAAGTCGGTACCTGACCAGCCGGGCTGTGGCTCGTACGCTGGATTGCGTGCAGCCAGCAGTAACAGCCTGGTTGATCAGGCACTGATCCACCAGGAGGCCTGATCACAGACCGGGCCGCGGGGGCGTTGACCCCCGGAACTCTCTCCAGGTAAACTCCAGGTACCCTGTTGCTCTGTCTGCTCTTGCTCTCCCTTCTACCCTGCTGCTCTGCCCAAATATCTAACCCGGGAGCCCTTATTAAATACTTTTATTCCTCCGTAAATCTGATTTTTGTTTAACATTTCATGAGTGTGTAACCACAGACCAACGTTCATCCTGTCTTTAGTTCCATTTTTTCCTGCCCACGACATTCCACTCGTTGCAGCACGTATTCTTCATCTTCTGAGTCATTTTTTATTCATCACTCACCTTCCAGATAAGATGTAAGTCTCACCTACACCTTTCAGTCTCGGCTTTTAGATGTTACCTCGCGTGATCGCTCCTTCTCTCTTCCTTGACGATATCCTCATCGCCTAATCCAAGTCTTCCAGCTCAGGCTGACATATTTAATTAACTCGATCCCCCGTAAGGAACTTAACCCTTTAACCTCTCAAACAAAACTAGAGACGTAATGAATGGTTTTGAAAACCGACAAGTTGAAGAATTCCCATATGTTGCATAAGTGTCAATTCTTCAAAACCAGAGACAATAGGGACCCAACCCTAAGGGTGAGTGCTCATATATGTAACCCATCTTGTCTGATGGAGCACGGCAGGGAAACATATAAAGCAAATAAAGCGTACTTTATATATATATATATATATATATATATATATATATATATATATATATATATATATATATATATATATATATATATATATATATATATATATATGTCGTGGTGAATAGGCAAAACTGGTCAATTAGCAAGAACTCATTTAAAATTAAGTCCTTTCTGAAATTTTCTCTTATACGTTTGAAAGATTTTTTTTTCATTTATGTTAATGTAAAAATTAATAATTTTGTACCGAAAGAACCTTAGAAAACTTACCTAACCTTATTATAACAAGCGCAACTTAATATAGCCTAATCCAACTAAATATATTTTAGATAAGTTTACAATAACTTAATAATATACAAACACAATGAAATATTTTTTTTTCGTTAGGTTCAGAATGAGTCTTGCCTTATTCGGCAAGAAGAGCGTTGCTATTTAAGCCAATATCGCAAGTTTTACCTATTCGGCAAGACATATATGCCATATACAAAGGATGAGCTAAATTCCGGATGTACTCAAACCACGGAACGGGTGAGTTTTTGAAATCACGGCGAGTGAGTCGTAAAAGTCCAGGTCAGTGCGTATGCCACTGGACCAGCTGGCTACAATAAGATTCATCCAACTAGGTATATCTTTATACATGGGCTCCACTCTCCATGGTTTTAAACCCAACCCATTCCGTGGTGTGTTTGTAAACGTGTTATTTCGATTTCGTGAGTCAGGAGGGAGGGGGAGGGAAAGAAAAAACTCCTTCCCTTACCTTCTGCTCCCTGCTCTCCCTCTCATGGTATTATCCCTCCCACAAACCTTTCTTCCCTCCCTCTCTTTCTGACTTCTCTCAATCCTTATTTCAGAGCCTTTTAGCCTCTTCCCTCCCTGTTTACGTTATTGACGTACCTGGTGGTGGAGGGATGTCGTCTTGAAGACCACTGGTGCGGACGTCAGGACTGGCTGATGCGTCGTCCAGTGGTGCCTGGCGGTCGTCGTAGTCAGGAGGGGGCACTCCTGCGGAGGACAAGTCGTGCTCAGGTAGGAAAGCCAGGGGGCAAGTAAAGGTAATAATACCACATGGGAGTAAAAGTGGCTTGGGTGGAGAAAGTCATGATCAGAGCGATTCAAAGACATAACTGATGACTGACAAGGGACTGCAAGACAATGTTTGGACGAGAGACTGGCAGAGTACGTCAAGCCATGATTAAGAGGGATTCAAACCATGATTAGGAAAGGGATTCAAGTCATGATTGTGAGAGGGATTCAAGTTAAAATCGGAGTGGTAACGACATGCTGAAAAAAGGTTAAGATAAGATATGACTGTCAGGTAGTACTGACATGATGAAAGATTGAAGTAATGATATGACTGCAGGAGCTGAGACGTGATTAGTCACGCATGATGGGAATTATAAGGAATGATGGGAATTCCAGGAATGATTCCTTACAGAAGCTTTGAACAAAATATATGAATGCACAATCTAAGCACTGTACTGGCAACAATATCAAACAAAAGACACACGTAGCAGGACAAGTTTTTATTATTAAAACGTTTCGCCCTGTATAGAGCTTCATCATTACTTGATAAAGCTCTACAAAGAGCGAAACGTTGTCCCACTGAAAGCATGTTGTGAAACGTGTGTCTGTTCTTTAGAGGCAACTTCGTGTTAAAGGTCGGAAGGTCAGGAATGACTGACTGGAAGGACTGGAATGATGACAGGAATAACTGATTGGAAGATCAAGAATGTCTGGAAGGATTGGAATGACGACAGGAATAACTGACTGGAAGATCAAGAATGTCTGGAAGGATTGGAATGACGACAGGAATAACTGACTGGAAGATCAAGAATGTCTGGAAGGATTGGAATGACGACAGGAATAACTGACTGGAAGATCAAGAATGTCTGGAAGGATTGGAATGACGACAGGACTTCAAGGTCAAGAATGACATTTCAAACAAAAAAACAAAAAAAAAAAAAAACAATAATACTCTTATTACGCCTTCGATCTCAACTGAAACAAAATTGAAAAAAAAAAAAAATTGATGATGATCAAGTATTCAACTCTGCCTCACAATGGGACGGGTTGCCATCAAACTTTCAATCGGGTAAATCAATTCTGCTCAAAATAATGTACTGTAAAAAAAAAAAAAAAAATTCGTGGCGTGGATGATGGAACTTTAAATTTTGATTTCTAATATAATTACTTCTGGACATCTGACCACAACTAATTCACATCAAATAAATTCTATTGTTTTCAGAATTCCTCTCACTTGAAGAATACTAATTATTATCATTATTATTATTATTATGTTCATGGAAAGCCCTAAACCAGTAAGATTCATACAGCACTTACGTAAAGGAATCTTATTTTATCTAATTTTTTTTTAGAAAAAACCTAAACCGGCATCAAGGTAGCCCTTTATTGAAGGTGTAAACAATATGATATGTATTTCAAGGACTATGCTACGGCAGGCTCTTTCAGCCTTGATATTCAGTAACCTAACCTAACTTTGCCTAACCTAAATTAACCTAACCTAACCCGACTTGACCTAACCTAACTTGGCCTAACCTAAATTAACCTAACCTAACCTAACCTAACCCGACTTGACCTAACCTAACTTGGCCTAACGTAACCTAAGCTGACCTAGCCTAGGTAATTGAACACAAATGCAACTGATATGACAATGTTTTGTGGCAACGTTTGACAGCGACTTGACAAAGCTCCTGAGGGGCGAAACGTTGCCACAATACAATGTCACATTAGTTTCATCCTTGTCTATTTACCTAACACTAACCTAGCCTAACCTGACATGACCTAATCTCACCTAACATGACCTGACATAACCTAACCTAACCTAACCTAACGAAAGCTAAGCTAACCTAAAATAACCTAACATGACCTGACCTAATCTAACCTGACATGACCCATGTTCACCCGCACCATGTTCACCCGCACCATGTGTGGCCCGCATCATGTGTGGCCTGCATCATGTGTGGCCTGCACCATGTGTGGCCCGCACCATGTGTGGCCTGCATCATGTGTGGCCTGCATCATGTGTGGCCTGCACCATGTGTGGCCTGCATCATGTGTGGCCTGCACCATGTGTGGCCCACACCATGTGTGGCCCGCACCATGTGTGGCCCGCACCATGTGTGGCCTGCATCATGTGTGGCCTGCATCATGTGTGGCCCGCACCATGTGTGGCCCGCACCATGTGTGGCCCGCACCATGTGTGGCTGCACCATGTGTGGCCTGCATCATGTGTGGCCTGCATCATGTGTGGCCCGCACCATGTGTGGCCCGCACCATGTGTGGCCCGCACCATGTGTGGCCCGCACCATGTGTGGCCCGCACCATGTGTGGCCCGCACCATGTGTGGCCTGCATCATGTGTGACCCGCACCATGTGTGGCCTGCATCATGTGTGGCCTGCACCATGTGTGGCCCACACCATGTGTGACCCGCACCATGTGTGGCCCGCACCATGTGTGGCCTGCATCATGTGTGGCCTGCATCATATGTGGCCCGCACCATGTGTGGCCCGCACCATGTGTGGCCCGCACCATGTGTGGCCCGCACCATGTGTGGCCCGCACCATGTGTGGCGTGCACCATGTGTGGCCTGCATCATGTGTGGCCTGCATCATGTGTGGCCTGCATCATGTGTGGCCCGCACCATGTGTGGCCCGCACCATGTGTGGCCCACACCATGTGTGGCCCGCACCATGTGTGGCCCGCACCATGTGTGGCCTGCACCATGTGTGGCCTGCATCATGTGTGGCCTGCACCATGTGTGGCCCACACATGTGTGGCCCGCACCATGTGTGGCCCGCACCATGTGTGGCCCGCACCATGTGTGGCCCGCACCATGTGTGGCCCGCACCATGTGTGGCTGCACCATGTGTGGCCTGCATCATGTGTGGCCTGCATCATGTGTGGGCCTGCATCATGTGTGGCCCGCACCATGTGTGGCCCGCACCATGTGTGGCCCGCACCATGTGTGGCCCGCACCATGTGTGGCCTGCACCATGTGTGGCCCGCACCATGTGTGGCCCGCATCATGTGTGGCCTGCACCATGTGTGGCCCACACCATGTGTGACCCGCACCATGTGTGGCCCGCACCATGTGTGGCCCGCACCATGTGTGGCCTGCACCATGTGTGGCCTGCACCATGTGTGGCCTGCATCATGTGTGGCCTGCATCATGTGTGGCCTGCATCATGTGTGGCCCGCACCATGTGTGGCCCGCACCATGTGTGGCCCACACCATGTGTGGCCCGCACCATGTATGGCCCGCACCATGTGTGGCCCGCACCATGTGTGGCCCACACCATGTGTGGCCCGCACCATGTGTGGCCCGCACCATGTGTGGCCTGCATCATGTGTGGCCTGCATCATGTGTGGCCCGCCCATGTGTGGCCCGCACCATGTGTGGCCCGCACCATGTGTGGCCCACATCATGTGTGGCCTGCATCATGTGTGGCCTGCATCATGTGTGGCCCGCACCATGTGTGGCCCGCACCATGTGTGGCCCGCACCATGTGTGGCCTGCACCATGTGTGGCCCGCACCATGTGTGGCCCGCACCATGTGTGGCCCGCACCATGTGTGGCCCGCACCATGTGTGGCCCGCCACCATGTGTGGCCCGCACCATGTGTGGCCCGCACCATGTGTGGCCCGCACCATGTGTGGCCCGCACCATGTGTGGCCCGCACCATGTGTGGCCCGCACCATTGTGTGGCCCGCACCATGTGTGGCCCGCACCATGTGTGGCCCGCACCATGTGTGGCCCGCACCATGTGTGGCCCGCACCATGTGTGGCCCGCACCATGTGTGGCCCGCACCATGTGTGGCCCGCACCATGTGTGGCCCGCACCATGTGTGGCCCGCACCTTGTGTGGCCCGCACCATGTGTGGCCCGCACCATGTGTGGCCCGCATCATGTGTGGCCCGCACCATGTGTGGCCCGCACCATGTGTGGCCCGCACCATGTGTGGCCCGCACCATGTGTGGGCCCGCACCATGTGTGGCCCGCACCATGTGTGGCCCGCATCATGTGTGGCCCGCACCATGTGTGGCCCGCACCATGTGTGGCCCGCACCATGTGTGGCCCGCACCATGTGTGGCCCGCACCATGTGTGGCCCACACCATGTGTGGCCCGCACCATGTGTGGCCCACACCATGTGTGGCCCGCACCATGTGTGGCCCGCACCATGTGTGGCCCGCACCATGTGTGGCCCACACCATGTGTGGGCCCGCACCATGTGTGGCCCGCACCATGTGTGGCCCGCATCATGTGTGGCCCGCATCATGTGTGGCCCGCATCATGTGTGGCCCACACCATGTGTGGCCCGCACCATGTGTGGCCCGCACCATTGTGTGGCCCGCACCATGTGTGGCCCGCACCATGTGTGGCCCGCACCATGTGTGGCCCGCATCATGTGTGGCCCGCACCATGTGTGGCCCGCATCATGTGTGGCCCGCATCATGTGTGGCCCGCACCATGTGTGGCCCGCCGCACTAAACTCGCCTCTCCAGCCAAAATAAAATAAATATTATTATAATTAATAATAATATTAGACTAGAAAATTATTATTATTATTATTATTATTATTTAATATACAAAAATGCGCTAGTCTTGCTTATTACTGTTATTAGTTAGTATTAGCGTTGTATTATTATACTGAGGGAGAAGCGCTAAGCCCGTAGGTGTGACAGAGAACTAGTGTTAGTGATGGTACATCAAGGCAGGTTAGTCCCTCACTTACCAGCGATCAGGTCATCAAGTCCCTGAAGACGCTGCCTCTGTCTGGCTGCCTCATCCCTGCCTTCATCGTCAGCGCTTCTGGACGATGACAGCGACGAAGAGGAAGAGCAGGAGTCTCTTTGACTGGCGTCCTTCGGGGAGGACCGTCCGCGGCGAGTGGACTCTCTGATTCGTCCTTCGCCACCGGCGTCCCTGGTGCGAGCTTCACCGGCGTCCCTGGTGCGTCCGTCTGCACCGGCTTCCCTACTACGTCCGTCTGCACCTGCGTCCCTGGTGCGTCCGTCGCCAGCGGCAGCGTCCCTGATGCGAGCGTCTCCTGCAGCGGCCCTGACCATGAGTGAAGGGTCGATGTCCTCGTAGTGGTGGTCGTGGCAGCTGCTGCTGCTAGCTGTGGAGACTGCGTCGTCACTGCTGTGTATGTCAGCTTTCACTGTCGAGCCAAGAAGAAAAGTTGTTGGTGAGATGGAGAACCCATGAAGGAAAAAACAACTGCGTAATTTGGAGTGATGAGGATAGAGACCGAATACTGGGGGTCAGAAACAGTGTACTGATGGATAGCAGGTGAGGGTTTGCAGCAAGAAATATAGCGTTGGAGCCAGAAGGTGTATGTGTGTGTCTTGTGGTCAGAAATTCAGCGATGGGGGCAGCAGGTGTGTATCTTGCGGTCAAAAATCATGCGTTGGGTGGCTAGGACCAACAAGGTAGGACCAACGGGTTGTTCATAATAAGATTACGAAATAGCAAAACTCAAATGCATAAACAATGAGAAGTGATGGTAAAATAATATGCAAATGAATGAGCTATTTAAAAACAGGTTTGAATAGAGGTAATAGAAAATCAGCCAATACTGACTATGCTGAGAACATCCCAGTGGATTAACCCAGCCATTCTCAGCCTAGAAGTTCAATTCCTGCGGTTAGGAGCATAGTGTACTCGCCTATATGTGGTTGCAGGGGTCGAGTCATAGCTCCTGGCCCCGTGTGTGTGTGTGTGTGAAAAACTAGAACAAAAAATCACCAAAAAATGAAGACTAGGAAACAAGAACACTGAAAAAGAGAACAATAAAAACCAAAAGAACACTAAAAGAAACAAGACTGCTTGAAAAACCAAAGAACACCGAAACAAAGAACACTGGAAATAAAGAATACCGGAAATAACGAAGAACGCTAGAAATAACAGTGAACACTGAAAAAACAAAACAATGAAAAACAAAGAACACTGAAAAAAACACCGAATAAACAACAACAACAACAAAAAAAAAACTGACACAAAGAACACTGGAAACATAAAAGAACTCGAGAAAACAAAATCACCTTTGGCTGGCCCGGGTCAGTGGTTAGTGTGAGGCGTGAGAACGTCTGTGTTGTGTCCTTGTCTGCCTACCACACACCTGACAGTCAGGCAGACAGTCAGCCAGTCAGTCAGTTAGTTACTTACTTAGATAATCAATCAGTCAGTTATTTAATCAGTCAGTCAATCAGTTAGTTATTTAGTCAGTCAGTCAGTCAATCAGCCAGTTAGCCAGTCAGGTAGTCACTTAGTCAATCAGTCAGTCAATCAGTTAGCCAGTCAGCCAAAAAAGTCATATTTAGATAGTGGTTACAGGAAGCAGAGAGCTGGCTCAGTGCTCTTCCATGACGCCCACTCTACGGGGCACCTGAGGACTCAGACATTTCCATGCCTGGAGTTATATCAGGTTCTAGTCCTTTCTTTACGTAGTACTTTCTCCTAGTGCCTCTGGTGCACTTCCGCTTTCTTATTAGTATATTTTAGTGAGATGACTTTCTCACTGTGTATCTAGAGCCTTCCTTTCTTGTGTTAAATCTCCCTTATTATTCTTCCAGTGTTATTTTCTTATCCATTCACTGCGTACAGTCTTGAATAAATCAAATAAATCAAATAAAAACTCTAATATTTTTTTTTCTGACGAGATGTTTAAAATTCTTTATCAACTGATGTGCTTATGTAATTAAAATATCATTATTCTCAAGCACTATTTATAAACATTGCTGACGTGTTGAGATGATTACGAATAATTTCTTATCCTCTTCGTATTCTTAAAACTACTTGTGATAATCCACTTGCATGTTTAATATGTTACTAATTATAATGCCATATTATAATGCCCTATTTAAATCAAGGTTAAAGTTCTTTAAATGATGGACTCAAAGGCATATTAACCAGAGACAAAATCGACACCGTGTATTAATTTGCAAAGAACAATTACACACTGCATTACGAGAACCTCTAGGCAGCTCGATGCTGACGCCTGGGAATGGAACACAGTCACCTCCCGGCCCCAGTGTTATATTGCTGGAGTAATTGTGAGAATGAAAGGTGGGAGAGAGTAGCTGAACCTCAGAAGTACGTTGTCGAGGAAGCTTCAGAGACAAGTGTCATTGTGGTAATGGTATATAATACCCACCAGTAGATGTTTTCATCTACCAGACCGGTGTGTTGTGGAGGAGGCTGAGGCATTGAAGTGTATTGCTGAGGCTGAGATCTCTGAAGTGTGTTCTGAGGCTGAGGCTCTGAAGTGTGTTCTGAGGCTGAGGCTCTGAAGTGCGTTGTTGTAAAGGCTGAGGTTTTGAAGTGTTTTTTTTTTTTCAAAATTATGTACACTCGCAGCCTGCTGCTACCCTTTTGTAATAATTAGATAATGGGAAACACAAGCAAGCCAGAATATATATATGGTGTGGCGTGTCTCTCAAGTGTATATACACAGTGCGTTTACTTCACTGCCTATATTAGTGATAAAATTAATCTTAACTGGTGGTGAACACATTACAGTCTCACGGTCACAGAGGATAAGGTTCACACAGCAGGGAGTTTCATACATGAGCTGGGAGATTTCCGAAGCCAATTAGGACAGACTCAAGCATTCCAATATGTATCTAGCCGCTACGAAAGTTGCAAGCGAGAATGGAAAGGTTATATATGTTAACTATTTCGTAGATCATCGCCTACGCTGCCCGGTCTCAAACCAAACCTCCTCAATTGGGATGGAAATATTAGTAATGAAAACTAGTCGAAACACACAAGAAAGTAAAGTGTAATACATACTGAATATAAGTAGAAGTCTGCAAGATTTAACTCTCACCCTGCGTGTTTATGAGGCAGAAATAAAGCAGGAATCCTACCAGACTACAAAACCTTTAATTGAAATACGTTTCACAACAACCACCATCTTTCATCGATCCAGCCAACAACCAAAACTTCCCACCATCAACCCAACCAGCAACTATCAACTATCATACAGAATAGGATAGCTGCACACTGCTGGTATGTCATGCTAGTTTAATACAAAGAAAAAAAAACTTTTCCAGCACCCTCAGCACGAACCTCACCTCGGAGCACACAACACACACATCTCTCTTAAACAATTCTCACGACTTGTCAAGGGCCACTAAACTTTACAATTAGTCTAAGATACATCTCTCTTTCAGACACGTAAGCGCTCACACACACACACACACACACACACACACACACACACACACACACACACACACACACACACACACACACACACACGAATGTAAGAGCCCGAGCGACAGACTAAAGGAAGGTTCCAAACACAGCTTTAAGAACAAGTATGCTAAGGCCTACAAGGCGAGGCGTGATTGAATCTGGTCACAGCAAACACAACAGAGTACATGCAGTCGTACCCAGCTACTGTACTCTCACCTCCCTCTCCCCACATTAACGTCTCTCAACAAGAGCAGATACTATTATGTTGATAAATAAGTGAGACAACACACCATCCTCCTCCATCCAGGTACCTACACCTCACCAACTATAATATCTTCTCTAAGGTGTTGCTTAACCTTGACCTCACTTCCTTTACCACCACACTGACACACTCTCACCCTTATTCTCCTGCCTTTCCACGCAAATCTTCCTTTTATACCCCCCCCCATTCAAACTTTTTCTCCTCCAATACCCTCCCCCTCCTCACTATCCACTCATACGTCAGCCATCCTCTAACTTCATTCACCATCCGCTACCCTAGGGAAGTCACACCTATTCTAAAAAAAAAATAAAATAAACTTAACTCTCCAGACCAATTCACTCGCTTCTTTCCCTCGTTCCTCAGTTTCATAATACCTACAATTGTGCCCCACTCTCACGAACTCTTTTTTTCCCATTCATTCATTCATTCTCTCTCTCTCTCTCTCTCTCTCCCTTCAACTGACTGAAGACAGGAAAGATAAGCAAAGGTCTAAACCACTGATCATCAAAGAAATTGCTGCCTTTCTCAAAGACGGCTCTGGAAATGACTGAAAACATACTCAGTACCTTCTTCCTGATAAACTGAATTACCACATTCAAGGTATCAGAGTATAAGTCATTCATGACGTGCAGTGTGATAACCTCGAGAGTAACCTCCTGGACTATCAGAAGTGCTAGAAAATACTGCACAACTTGCAGCATCCCACACGGGAGATTCCTTGACGCAGATGAGAGGTTTCTTGATCAAAGAAATTGGCGCTACGTTTCATTGGAACGAAGGTGATGATTGCCTCCCAGGACCTGCATAACTCATACGGGTACACCGCCCCCACCCCCATTAAAGTAATAGTAACGACCTTCAGCTCAATATGAAGGTTAACGAATAAGGTGTTGTGTCCACAAGACATACATTCCTTCCTCTAACAACACATTTCCTTCAAAACTGGCACATTATGTTGCTTCCCCAATGTTTTAATCACACAAAGTAATTAGAGGCCTTGAAAGAAGGGGATCGGGGACAATAGGGACATAGACGTCAGTTACCCATCGCTATGGCCGGGTCGCTATGCTCTCCAGTTTCGTCTGGGAACACATAGGATCAAGTACCCTGTGGAGAATCAAATCCTACATCGTTTCGTACAAAAAATAACTTGACGATGATAACGAGTCACAACAACGTTAAAAAAAATATTAAATAATATATACGACATTATAGAAGCAATGTAAATACACAGTTTGAAAGGGAAGTACGACAGAGCTCATGAGGGAAAATAGTGAAATCGGTAGTACACTAAAAAAAATGGGGCCAAGAGGTATAAGTCAACCCCACAGCCACAACTAAGCGGGTAGATCTAGGCTAGTACACACACACACAGCCCTCACTACCACAGACATTACAGCTGGTAGTAATTACACAGGAAACAGGATGTGGTTGTCAGATTACGAGGAAATGGTAAGAGAATTTAATAACGCATAATCAGGACATTGGGGACAAGACGGCCATTATCTTTCCAAGTTGGAATGTCGGACTTTGCGTGTCTCTTCCACACTGTCTCTCTCTCTCACAATGTTTCCTCCACACTGTCTCTCACACAGTCTCTCCCACACTGTCTCTCACACTGTCTTCCACACTGTCTCTCTCACATTCTCTTCCACGCTGTCTCATACTATCTCACACTGTTTCTCCCACACTGTCTG